CTCACTCAACGCGTCTATGTGTCCGTATCTCCAATACAAATCAACCAGTGAGGTTTCAGTATGCAGCTATCCTCACTCAATGCGTCTGTGTGTCCGGCAATCGCAAACATCACTCAACCCGTGAGGTTTCAGTATGCAGCTATCCTCACTCAATGCGTCTATGTATCCGGCAATCTCAAATATCACTCAACCAGTGAGGTTCTAGTATGCAGTTATCCTCACTCAACGCGTCTATGTGTTTGGCAATCTCAAAAACCAATCCATCTGTGAAGTTTCAGTATGCATCTTTCCTCACTCAACACGTCTATGTGTCCGGCAATCTCCAATACAAATCATCTGTGAGGTTTCAGTATGCAGCTATCCTCACTCAATGCGTCTATGTGTCCGATAATCTCCAATACAAATCATCTGTGAAGTTTCAGTATGCAGCTATCCTTACTCAATGCGTCTATGTATCCGGCAATCTCAAATATCACTCAACCAGTGAGGTTTTAGTATGCAGTTATCCTCACTCAACGCGTCTATGTAACCGGCAGTCTCAAATATCACTCAACCTGTGAGGTTTCAGTATGCAGCTATCCTCACTCAACGCGTCTATGTATCCGGCAATCTCAAATATCACTCAACCAGTGAGGTTTTAGTATGCAGTTATCCTCACTCAACGCGTCTATGTAACCGGCAGTCTCAAATATCACTCAACCTGTGAGGTTTCAGTATGCAGCTATCCTCACTCAATGCGTCTGTGTGTCCGGCAATCGCAAACATCACTCAACCCGTGAGGTTTCAGTATGCAGCTATCCTCACTCAATGCGTCTGTGTGTCCGGCGATCGCAAACATCACTCAACCCGTGGGGTTTCAGTATGCAGCTATCCCCACTCAACGCGTCTATGTGTCTGGCAATCTCAAAAACCAATCCATCTGTGAGGTTTCAGTATGCAGCTTTCCTCACTCAACACGTCTATGTGTCCGGCAATCTCCAATACAAATCATCTGTGAGGTTTCGGTATGCAGCTATCCTTACTCAATGCGTCTATGTGTCCGGCAATCGCAAGCATCACTCAACGCATGAGGTTTCAGCATGCAGCTTTCCTCACTCAACGCGTCTATGTGCCCGGCAAGCTCAAAAACCAATCCATCTGTGAGGTTTCAGTATGCAGCTATCCTCACTCGTCTATGTGTCCGGCAATCTCCAATACCAATCAGTCTGTGAGGTTTCAGTATGCAGCTTTCCTCACTTAACGCGTCTATGTGTCCGGCAATATCAAACCTCACTCAACCCTTGAGGTTTCAGTATACAGCTATCCTCACTCAACACGTCTTTGTGTCCGGCAATCTCATACATCACTCAACTCGTGAGGTTTCGGTAAACAGCTATCCTCACTCCACTCGTCCATGCGTCACGCGTTTTTGGTAGCGCATACTATGGGGGCTATATTTGGGGTGGCGTGTTTTACATCGCTTTGCCAACAGCGCCAACCCACTTATGTCTAGATTGAGGGGGGGTTAGAAAAAGTCGGGGGGGGGGGGGTCTATTTTTGCAAGAGGGTCACGAAGGACGACGGTGTGACGCTTTGATGTGTAGCCCCGAATAACGTGCAAGTAATAGTTGCAGAATGTCGGAAGTACAAGAAGGAGGGGGAACTAACTGTACATGGCTGAGCTGGGAAAAGTAGAAGGGAGATACAGAGAGATGTTTGAGGCATGGAATAGCTATGTAGCAGAAGACGGTAGCTGTACTATGACACAGGAAGCGGGTTGAAAAGGCGGGGCGTGATATCGAGAGGACAGATAAACTAGGTAGGGAAGACATTTTTGAGCCACCTTTGACAAAGTATGAAGAAAAAATTGACCATCGGTGATCGGTCCTGTGGGAACAATGCTCTGTCCTCTCGTGGACGCGTGGTCAATGGTCTAACTTTAGCTAAGGCATGAAAAACATAAGAGTACCCCCCCGTTCCCCCCCCCCGGTGTTTGCCATCGGGGTTGGGTTTTCGTCGCTTGGCAACGACGTTGTAAAACAAGCCGCCCCCCCCGGTGTTTGCCATCGGGGTTTGGGTTTTCGTCGCTTGGCAACGACGTTGTAAGACAAGCCCCCCACTCGGTGTTTGCCATCGGGATTGGGTTTTCGTCGCTTGGCAACGACGTTGTAAAACAAGCCAATTCACTTCGTGAACTCGGCAACCAGGTTACCGTTTCTTTTTTTTACCTCGGTTTTTTTTTTGGCGGTAACCATAATGGTGGTCGAGTAGACCATGTTGTGCGGGGTCGAGAAACCTCACTCCGCGCAACGGGGGATGATCGCACCACGTTGTGTTAAAATGGTCAAGCTTCCTCGAGGCAGTTACACAGTGCTTACAACTGTCTCTGGAAGTGAAAGCACCAGAAAATAAATTAAGTCATACGTAGCTGTCATCCGTACGCAAGGAAGTAAGCACAAGATGCCGAACACCCTTAGCAGGATGCAGCTCACCCTTCATGCGACTCGCCAAATACCTCACGGCGCTTCGCGCTTGGTGATGTGAGAGCCTGGTCCGGTGAGAACCCGGCGTGCTCCGTCCCGGCTTTGTAGGGATGCGAGGTCAATGGTCAAACGACTACGGCATGCACGACTATGAGTACACCCCCCCCCCCCCCCCCTCCCCTGGATTGGCCGTTTGGGGCTGTGCAGTCCTGGCTTTTCTCAGCTGTGCCCCGCTTGCTCGTCCCACAACCCGCAGCTCACTCAGCTGGGCATTGACCCGAACGGGCTGCTACCCAGCGGTAGGGCGTTTTCAAACAAGAGTCGATCCTCGCCAGGTTCAATTCTTAGCTTCATCCCTTCGTGTTTCTGTCTAAAAAACAAAATGCCACGCAAGAAGGACCTTTCACGCGTCCGCGCGGGGGGTGGCTGGGTTATTGCTATTGCTTCAATCAAGTGGGGTTGCTACAAAACAACACCGGATATAAGGCAGAGAAAGCTGTTCCCAGCCTACCTGTATATCTATCCCAAAACAATAAAACAAATAACACCGTCTTGGCAAAAACCTCTTCACTACATGCTGTAGTCGACTACAGCATAGCAACCGGCCATTAGCCTAGACTTTGTCAACCATTCTTGGACAAATTGGTACCCACCCCACTCATGATTCTATGTCGCCGCGGTGTACTTGCGCGTGTGCACACGATGTCGAAGGAAATGCAATGAAGAGCGTGCTGGACGTGTCGTTGAACAGGAGTTATTGGCCGGTGCCACGCGTCACGTACAATTGTTTTATCTGTCTGTATTTCTCAATCCGTTACTTTAGAATGCTGCATTTTCATGCGCCTATGCACACACCGCGTGTAACAGATGCGAAAGAAGCGCGGTTCAAAAGTCTAGGCATTACCTCGCTACCTGTAGGTTCGGTTCACGTTGACGGTTTTTTCGGGGGTGATGCAATGCCATGATGACGGTAGGGTGTTGGTGTTGATGTTGGTGTTGGTGACGCCGGAGCGTCGCAGGTTAAGAGAGATGAGGACGGAGCGACAAAAATTGTGCCTACAATTGAATCACCTTGGCACGAAGACACAATATGTTGGTTGAGCAAGTGTTTTAATCGTCTATGGAGCCAATGGAGACAACGGGTGTTGCAGAGAGAGCACACGGGTCGAGTGTGGGAAGAATATGGAGACAGTTGGCGGTGTTGGTCGATGGGTGCCTACAGATCCAAACACAACAACCACCGATGTTTTTGCAACACTCCATGCACTCAGTTGTCGTTGATACTGCTGTTCCCTCTCGGCTAATCTCCACTATTTCATCAGGTTCTGGCATTCGAGGGGCTCCTGCCGTCATACTACAACCACAAGAAGTTCTTGTCCTTCGTGCGTCAGCTCAACTTCTACGGTGAGCGTGCGTCCCCGCGAGCAATTCGGGATATTTGGAAGGACAACAAGGGAACAACAATGTTGGGCTTCTTTCATTGATAGAAGCAAATCGGTTGGCGCTTGTCAAATGGACGCTCGCAGGCAGAGTGCAAGACGTTGCTGTTGTGACCCTCTTCGGAGTGTGTCTACCGCAGTCTAGGTATGCCCCCAAGAAAATCCCCCAACATCGCACTCTACTCTATGAGCAAACCCGACACACGACGCTATTGCCCCACGAAAAATGTTGCCCGCTCTCCTCTCCCCTGTTGTCTTCTTTTCCCTCGCCCCAGGCTTCAAGAAGGTCAAGGGAGATCCTGCCTCACGTATGAGTTCTGCTTCCTCCGTCCACCCCCCGCCGAGCGCGGTGGCGGCAGACGAGTCGGATTCGTGGCAGGAGTTCAGGCACCCTGAGTTTCGCCGGGGCCGGAGGGATCTCCTGGCGGGCATCAAGCGGCAGAAGGACGGGGGACGCGTAAAGCGTAAACAAGGTGTGACTCTTACTATCATGGCACCGGTTATTTGTCGGATTCGCGGGGTGGAGTTTCCCGGCAGCGGGTGGAAGCAACGCCTAACGCCCGAGGGAGGCGTCAGCGCCCCAAAACATGTAGTCCATGGAAGTTGTTTATGGTGTTGAAAAGGCGCTTGTTGTGACCAACGGATACTTGGTGGTTGATAGGTTGGCAGGAAACGGACTTTGAAGAGGAAAATAACCACAAACTCCTCAAAGCTTACGTTCTTCGTTGACATACGGTGCGTGTTCTTGACAAGACATACACGTAGCTCGAGAAAACTCCAGACGTATCCAGGACGATATCCTGACAGAGTGATGCCTGGCGCCGGGTATGCCTTGACTGATAATCTTCCTAAATAGGGAATGGTGAACGTATGTAGAACACCAGACCCAGAGTTTTGAACCTAATCCTTTCAGGTTTTTATCGTACATTAAAATTTGAAGGTTGATTTTCAATTTTCGGTTCAAAATGTCATATGGTTTTAGCCTGAACCCCGTGTTGCTGTTGGTTGCGACGAAAAAAATGAACCACTTTCGTTGCATAAGCACCGCAGCGCCCGACTGTACTATGTACCGCATTGCAGTTCTTCCTTCGGTTTACTCGAAGCTGCACACGCCAAGTAATCGTTACAGGTTGAGAAACGTACCACACGCAACTGCAATCGACTGGTGCACTCTTCACCGTCTATGTTCTTTGCGGGCCGGTGGTCCTCGGCTTGAACAATTCTCTCGCACGTGTGTGTACTCTCTACCCGACGACGGCCCGTCCTACTCCTGGTCAGCCGAATTGGAGAAGCTGGGCACCCTCAGCACCCTCACGACCGACGTGGACATGATGAGCGTCGACTTGAGGGCGGCGAACGGCAAGCTCGACGACATCATGTTGATGTTATCCGGCATGGCGGGCGGCAACCTGCACTCCTCCATGATCCCGCCCGTGCAACGGGGAAACATGGGCAGAGGTGGTGACGGAAGTTTCGGGTTTGGCATCGGCGGAAGCTCTAGCGACCAAAACTCGTACAACACAGCAGAAACCGCGGGCGCCGCTGCCGCTGCGTTTGGCGGGGACCGGCAGCAGGTGGTGGGGGCGGGGTCGAGGGATGGCAGCACCGACCAGGAAGGCCACGACCCTAGTGTGTATGGAGCACCGCTCGACCAACGTCATACGCCATGTCTCCCTGTTGGCCATCAGCAACAGGGTTGGCAGGGCCATGGACCTTACCCGCAGCCCCACCAGCCCTCCTTTTCAACAGAGCGATGCCTGGTGGCCCCCAACCAGGTGAAGGAAAGAGTGAACCGTATATGTGTGCTTTTCACCCGTAAAAAATCGGCAAAGGAGGATTCCGAGGTGTGTGTGCATTCACCAAAAGCCGTGTTTCCGGGATGAGTAGACACATGCAAGGACAACGACCTTTTTCCCGATAGATCTACATGCATGTAGGAGAAGCACTCAATCAAGAGGGCGATGTATGGAACGGAACGACCCAAGCGGGAATGCGTGCCTGTCCCTATCCGAAATCTTCGGTGCGGCGCACGACTAACCCGTGAAGCCCGGGATGAGCGCGGAGTGTAAGAGAGATTTCGCTATGAGCTACTGCTGTAGCCTAGTGCTGCTATCGAGTATTGCGGACGGCCCTGTGTTGTGCACCATGCGTGAGGCTCAGCGGCCCTCCTTGTTCGCTTCACCCTTCTCCGGAGACGCCCGCGTTGAAATCAGTCGGTTGTTGAGAACAACGTGGGATTTGGGGTTATTCTGTTGAATCTTGACGAAAGATGGCATCGTCCTATTCCTCGTCCTGATTGTGACATACGAAGCACCCCACGAAAAAACAAAATGATTCGCTTTTCTATGTGTGCGTGTCTTTGTCCAGGTGAGGTACCAGGCGGCGCAGTCGCATCCAGCACTACCGTCACTACCTCTTGCAGTAGCGGCGCATGCTTCACACGTTTCCGCTGCTGAGCCGCGGCGTCAGCAGCTACCCCCCCTATGCTACCCGCCGAGGGGGGACGGCAACAACCTCGCTTCTTCCGGGCACGAGCAAGTAGGCGGTGTGTACGAGAGCCTGTCCAATAAGGCAAGCCCCTCGGGAAGTGGAGGCGGGGGCGATGGCGGCGATGGCGGCGGCGGCGGCCGGCGTGGGGATTTTCACTCCGTTTCTTCTTGGGCCAACACCAACCCGCGCGTAATACAGGGGCAGCAGCAACCTCAACTTGCCTGGTCTTACCGTCTGCAACACCAGCAGAACGGCGGTGCTGCTCAAGTTGTCAGTCCACCTAGGGGAGGTTACGATGGTGACGTTGGTACGATGGGCCGACTGGAACAGGCGTTGTCGCATGGAGCGATGTCCGGACTCCGTGTGCTATCGCACTCCGCAGCAAGCATCTCCCAGACAGACAAGGAACAGCAAGAGAACTTCAACGCAGGCAGCACAAGCAGCAGCATGAGCAGCATGGGCAGCACATAAGCCTCTGTCGCTTTCTCGTCAAGCCTCAAGACAGTTGGGTGGGGGCAGATGAACCCCACATGCACCGAACCTCCCCTTGGCATGCGTCGAACACCCTGTACTTGAAGTTCCGACGAAGAGGTGTACTTGTCCCCCGTTCTGAAAACCATCGATATTCAAGAGTGGTGGTTCATGGTGTTGTCCTACTTTTTGTAGCACTAGATTGTTCATGCCCCGACGAACACGTCCTCCCCTTTGCACCCATATCGATGCGTGACTGTCACACGCGCCTGTTTTCTGCTTTTATCCCGAGTGTTCGTAAGAACATCGGGTATATTTATCCTCCTGTAATTTCCCCGGTGAGAACTGTGTGCGATGTTGTCGTCTCTGATGGTGTGCGTGTAGATGATTTTACTTGTTTCAAGGGGGGCGATGCCAGAGAAAAATAAACCGGTTCTGAATCGATTGATGGGCACGACCGATATGTGGAGAAAACGTCGGTTGACTATGTAAATCGTTTTATATCTGTAAAAGGAGGTTGGGGAATCACGTGGGACTACACCCGGGGAAGGAGGGCTTGTACGGGCAGTCGTGGGGCGGGGGGTACACTGAGGGGCTCACGCATCTCCGACAATTGTCGAAGGGGTGGTTTGGCTAAAATACGTCTATAGCATGAGGGGATTCGTGGGGAGGCGTGGCGCTACGGGCGGAGGGCGATTGCTTCTACCAAACGTCGGCTTCTAGCCGCTGTGAGGCAGACTCTAGTAATTCCTATTGCCGTATTGGGAAGCAAAGTCTTTGGGAATGAGGAATGCATGAACAACGCAGGGTAAGCAGCCGTCTGCCGCTGTTGTGGGTATGAGTGAAGTTGTTTGAGTATAGAATTGTAACGAAGCGTCAGTAAGGTTCCGAGACGGTGACGGTCTAGGTGTGTGGGCTCACCAATGAAGCATGTACAGCAGTGCAATAGGGTTCCCAACATCTCGGGAATAACAGGGATCAAATCATTTTCGGTTGTTGAGAAAAAAATTGGGGCATCGTGTCGAACGTGAGCACCACGGGCGGATAAGGCAGTAGAAATCCTCACGAGGACCGGTTGTCATTTCATTGGTGGTGGGCCCCGGGCGGTGTGAACATTTTCGCTACGATGGTATGCAGTAGCAAGAGCATCGGGGGAGGTCCGAATATTGAGATTTCGCAATTGGAAGCGGACATGTCACCCGCGCTCATGGATGTTTGGGACCTGTTTTATTCGCCCTCTGGGTGTAGTCTAGAGAACCGAGTGATAAGCTGCCGGATCTTCCAAGCGGCTTCGTGAAGCCTTTTCAGTTAAGATAGGTTTCACGAGAGCAGTTCCTCTTTTGTTTTTCGGGTGTATGTTGTTCTTGTTGTTGGCATCGTTGCGCGGTCGTTGGATTTGGCGTTGAACATGGCTAGGTGGAAATAGGACCGGTTTTGCGCGGTGAAACCTCCGAGTAGTTCTCGCTCCGCCCTTGTGCACTTGCTGTATCGACTGTCTCGTTGTTGTGGTTAAGATCAGAGCACCGCGTAGAAGTGGTGTTGTTTGTCGTTGTTACAAATCATGGCGAGGAAAGCCATGGAGTTGTCGGGAAGTTCAAATTATAACCAGTGATTTTGGAGGGCTCCCTCGAAAAACTTGTTGTCATTTTCTTCTTTCTTGTTGTCGTTTTCTTTCACAGGCAAACGTGGGTCCAGTGTTCTACATCTTTGTGGGGGAGTCATGCATGTTGTTCTTGTTTTCACTTTTTAACCACGACCACTGCAGCGCCATTCTCACACCTCCAGGGCGTGGAGTGCAGTTGACCTGGACTGAAGGAAAACCGACGATGACCTCTCCCGGTCTTCGAGAGTGTTCCAAGGTAGCATCTTCAGATTTAGTTTAATGTGCAGTGGTTACGTGCAGTTTTTTTTATTTTATGTTCGGGTTCGAGCAACGAACCCTACTTTGTTTTTTGGCGGACTTTTCCTACCTCTCGATGTGTTCTGCCTTTCTTGGTGGACTTACGTGTTACGGTGGGAATATTAATATGTTCGCGATCCTTACTGAAGTTAGCATGCCGTATTGGCACAGCTTGCGGTGCCGGAATTTCTATGCTTTGGAGAGTACGGAAGAGGTGCTGGAGGTCAGAGCATTTTTTTTTCATACAAGAAAACCGGTGTGCGCTGAAGTAGATTATTTCATTTCTCACCGGTACAACCGTAAGCAGTACGCTTTGAAAGCGCATGGTGGCGAGAGCAACTTGATCAACGTGGTTCGCCGGATTGCATCATCGTCTCCGTGCAGTCTCCACGTGTCTGTGAGCGTTGTATACTCCACTGCGCCCATTTATCGGATTCGGGGAGAATTGGACAGGCAACCAACGTGGCGGGCCCAAACCGAGCTGGAGGAAACGTTTCGAAGGAAACACAAGCTAGGCATGCTTGCGCCGCCAGTCTCGACATGCATGATTGTTTTTTTTATGGGGGGGGGCGGTGTGTTTTTTCTGGTGAAAGAGCCTTGAGTTCGTTCGAGAAGTGGTGTGGGGATTCACTTAGCTCGGCCCTGGTTAGCATCCGATGCTAGGTTTCGTTAGGATTACTGAAAGTAAGTGTAATTTTCTTTGTAGTTGTCAAAGAGGGTGGCTATGCGTGTCGATGTACTTTCGCTGGAACAGGATTTGGTTGGTTGAGTCCTGGTGCGCGCGTCGAATCATACAGACGAAGTATATCTCAACGTACAAGTTTGTTGTCTCTGACTGTCAGCCGCTTTTCCCGAATTGTAATGGCCTACAACTTTCTTTTCGTTTTCTGGTCCTCTGACAGACTGGAGAGCATATCATTTTCCAGAGTGTGGCTCATCCCACCCCTTGTGATCAAGCTTGCTGTGCAACTCGTATGGTGTCGAAACATTTGCACCCGTCTCAGTATTCTCGCTTGGTTGTGTTTGGAGTACTGGTCATATCGGTGGAATCAGCCCAAAGGCGACACAAAAAAACACATCGATCGACAACGCACTAGTTTTTCCTCGGGGTAACACGCTGAGATTCCGGTGTGATTGCTATTGTCGCTGCTGAACCTCTTTTTAGTGGGCGTGCCCATGCGAGTGTTCAATGCGTTGGTGTGTCGTGCACCGGGTTTAGCATAGATGTCCATATGTTCTGATCTGATTGGAAGTGTCCATCACATCGTCCGAATTACGTAGACTAATGTCAAATCACCGAGTTTACCCACCACGTCGATTGCAACGTGTAGATAAGGCTTTGCAATTCACCGACACGAGACAGAGAGGTGAAAACCTAAAGAACAGAATCAATTTCCTATGTATTGGATTTTGGACAAGGCAACAAACAGTTGTAGACTTCCTACGTGTGAAGCAAGTCATAAGAGAAAAAAGGTCGTTGCTTGTTCATGCGACACGCCTGACCAATCATTCCTGTTCGAAACCGCATGTAACTCAGGGTTTACTGATTCAGTATTGCACTTCGTGCACTATCCTAGGTTTGCGCCGAAACGAGAACGTTCCTCTGCCAGGTAAGACGTCGTACCTACGACGCCCCCCCCCCCCCTTGGGCATATCACGGGCGACATATAGTACATTTTATGCCGTTTGCCACGGCGGCTCGACGGCCAACCTCACACCTACAAGGTAGGCACGAGGTTTTCGGTGGAAGAGGCTTCCGTGTACACACTGCCTGTAAACCTACCGTGGAACACCAAGAGGTCAGAGCCAGGGTGGCATTGTTCCTTCGGCGTCATACTCTGTTGGCGTTAGAATACTTCGCCACGACAGCCGTGTGGTTCCGACTTGCCGCGCGGGGGGTTGTTCTGTCGTGGTTTTGGAGTCTTCGATTATTTGTCTGTGTTTGTATTTGGTACAATCTCAGCGATGTGGGCGCTGTTGTGTTTGCCTTCATAAATTATACTAGAAGGTGTCAAGGTCAATAGATGGCCGAAAAAGGTACAGCTTCCTAACAACATGAGAAAACGAGCCAGACACAGAATATACTTTTCCGCTCTCGCAAGCACAGAACCAAAGAAAATATGAAAACATGTAGCATGGTGCGAACCAGGAGACCGAGCGAGATCTGGACTCCATCTCTACGGCTCACAGTCTGAACATTAAAACCTGAACGGAGAGCCTACCATACAAAAGATATGGCGCTGGCGGCGCGGAGACCACGCCATGCATCCGTAGAGTAGCGGCATCCATCGCCTCCGCATTCGGTAGTCCAACCTTGATTAAGCCTCCACGATACTGTCTGACGGTTGAAGAGCTGCTGTGAGGCCCGTATTGTGCACGCCCTCGCTGCAATGCTCCAGCGGTTGATCCCCTGCATAAGCTCGCCACATTTGATGCGGCCTCCCAAGTATCCGAACTCGGCGGTCTGAGCGTACTTTGCTCCGGTGCTGCTTCGATGACCAGTGGTGGTGGGGAGGTTCGTGGTTGCACGTATGCCGCCTCTCCGGTTCGACTGCCGAATGTGGGGGATAGCCCATGCTACTGTAGGTCCTCGCCGGCCAGGCTCACCCGCGCTGTTCGCAGACACGCATGCAAATCGGAAAACCACAACCAGCCATAAACAACAAATACAAAACACATCACACCGGGAGGGGTCGATAGGAACAAGGGTGTTTGCAACTACATTTTAAGATGGTGTTCCTGCTCCATCACATTCAAAGCGGCACATACCTCGCTATTCGTTCTGCCATCTCCATTCTGCCCTCGTCAGTTGTTGTCGTGTCCTCGAATTGGATCTTTGTACGCTCTTCCCCTCTCACCCCCCACTCCCCCCTCGTTGGCTGTCGTTTTGGTCTGGCTCCTTTTCTGTTCCGCTTATGCGCACAGAGTCGACTGGCGCTCTCTTCGCCCTTCGGCCAGGCGACGAAGAATCTCCTCAGCACCCCGAAGAACCCGCCGCCTACCATGGTATCCCCCTTTCCACCTCCGCGGCGAGAGTCCGGATGGCACGAGGGACCCCGAACGTTCTCCCGTCGCCGTCGGGGGATTCGTCTATGGCGCCGAATGCTTGGAAGCCGTCCTTCAGGCCTTTCAGACAATTCTGCTCTGGCACCCCTTGCTGCCTAAATCCTCCCCTCCCCACGAGTTTCTCACACATCATTCGCGTCGGGAGTCGCCCGTCCGGTTGTCTGGCCAAGGCTCCTGCAATCAGCCGTTTCCATTGTCGGCGACCATTATAAGGGTTGCACATAGGAGCGCTGCCGATATTTCCCCGCGTGCGGCGGTACCCGACAGCCCGTACAAGGACCCGGGGGGGTATCTCCTCAGAAGTTGGTAGTGGTCACGGCACGGGGCCCACGTCACGCATCCGTACCAGTAGGATCTTCATCGCCCCCACGACTTCGAGAAGCCAGACCTAAAATCCCCACGGTGCTGCATGCCTGTGGAAGAGCTCCGCCGGGGAGTACCTCCGGATGAACACCCACGCGGCTTTGCTCCGGTAGCTGATGACCCGTCCGAGCTCACCACCTTCTCCGACACGGCCACCCTGGTATCGGAACTCGGTGGTTGGGCGTATTCAAAAAACCTATCACTTGAAATCGGCATCCTCTTCGTCGTGGAGAAACCGAGCTTTGAAAATCGGTCCCAGGGGGTGCGGTATCTATGCAACCTACGGTGACCCTAACGCCAAGCCCACACGAAACGTACGTGCTAGGTTGGCGCTGGGTGGCTAAGTTCTAGGTTGATGTGCCGGTGGCGAAGTTCTTGGTTGAAGTGCCCACGGTGGGTACTTCGTGTGCTGTTCATGGGCTGCCCAGGGGCCCACCCACGGGCAGCTCAGCTCATGGGCAGCCCATGCCTATGGGTGCCCCATGGGTGGCTTAGCAGAACAGCCAGTAGTGTGGGAGACTGGGAGTGGCGCGCTGCTGCTTCTCCGGCGCCCGCATCAGGAGAGTACCTCTGTCTTCTTCTCCGACGCTGTCAGGCCAAAGGCTCCAACGCCTTCGACGATGATGATGGCCATCATCATCACCAGCCCTTCGGATGATCTCGATACAAAGCCACCGTCGTCGGCACACAGTGTTCCCCAAACCGCCCTGTACTTGTCCCAGCGGTGTCGCTACCCTCGCTCTCGTCCCAGGCTATTTCTCGAGGTATGCGAGGTCCATGACGATGGTGTTGTCCTCGTCGAATCGCACAGAGCGATCTTGATCACCGCCCCGCACAAAACGTTAGACAGTAGCGGAGACAAACACATCCTTGTTTGACCTCGAACCAGTCCACGAACGAGCTTCCGGCTACCCACGCGTAGTACATGCCATCGAGGAATTGGCGGATATGTACATAACTGTGACTATTTCCTCCGGGACCCTAGCTCGAGCCAGTGCTTGCTCTTGGTCGGCCGAGTCGAAGGTCTTCTTCTGGAAATCGACGAAGCCCATGTACTACGGCTTTAACAAGTGGATCGGCCCGACTTGTTGTAGATAAAGCACCTTGCTTGATGGTGGTGTCTTTCCAAACCTGTGGGACCTCCCCTCCGTTCCACACGTAGACGAGGATGGCACGAAAGCGCTTCATGAAAATAGACCAGTCTGCGCTGTCGATGCGAAGTGTTTCTCTCTACAGGAAGGTTGTCATGGTCAAGCACTTTTCTTTCAGCTGTGCATCCCTCGTGCCTCCCTTCTACTGCGTCTCCTCCGCGTTGGTACCGACCCCAGGTGCACCGAACCTCCGGTGAATCTTGCCGTCGGTCGTCGTTTCGCCACCTCGACAATGGATGATGGGTTTTCGCAGTACCTCTTCTGAAAAATCCAGGAAACGCCTGCATATCTCAGTTTTCCAAAGTCTAACTCCAGTACGAAACTACCATCGCATTTAACCGTCCACCGTGGTCGCTTTGTGTACAATGTTAGTGTCTGGGATTGTAGCCCTTGTGGTACACAG